ATTTCAATGTTGTGAAGTTGGATCCACAATCAACATCCATTAGCTTCAGCTGTGGGAAGCCGAATATCATATTTAATATTAATAATAAACCAAATGCTATATCAGGCTATGAGGGAGGCTTAATACAAGCTAGAGTTCACCCTGTGGCACTAAGGCATTCCTTAAGAGTCAACATTGTTCTTAGGTTGTATTTACTGAATCTGTCCCTCCCAGACAAGCATATGGTAAACAATAGAGAGGAGTTTGGCCTTATCTGCAAGAGTTCTCCAGGATCCCTTGTTTTTGTTTTCTAATCTCTTGTGATCTTTGTTTGCTTACCTTCCTTATGATTCTCAATAAATACATGGAGAAGTATGGCTCGAGGTGCTTCAGTCGAGAACTCCTGGCCCCCTGATTTTATGCTCTCTGTTCTATCTAATTCTTGGTTGTCTGTCTCATTATCAGTAATTTTAAAAATACTTTACCCTTAGTCTGCAACATTCAGTAGTCAAGAAATCAAAAGATGTGTTACACTGGAAAAATCTGTTTTCAAAGACCTCTTTTAAGTGCTAAAATCAAGAATATCAGTATAAAGATTAAAGTTTGCCTGATCCAAGCCACACTATTTTTTCAGTTGCTTTTCATGCATCTGAAAGTTGGACAATGAAAAAGGATGAATGAAGAAGAATTTATACCTTTGAATTACAGTGTTGGTGAGAAATATTGAATACATAATGGGCTACAAAAAAACCCCAAAACAAAACAAAACGAAAACAAATCAGGGAGCTCTGATGTTCTAGTCCTTAGAGTGTTTTGTTGCTAAACCAAAGATGATTTGGTGATTCAAATCCACCAGTAACTCTGTGGGAGAAAGAGAGGCTTTCTCCTTCCATGTGATTTAAGCCACCAAAAACCTGCTGGACGCTCGCCTAAGGTCAGGTCAGATCCAACTCCAAGGCAATGGCTTTTACTTTGACCAAAAGAACAAACAAATCTTTCTTGGAAGACATGCATTCAAGGTGTTTCTTGGAAGAAGAGCGGTGAAACTTGATCTCATATACTTTGAGTATGTAATCAGGGGGGAACCATATCTTGAAAAAAATACATGCTAGGTAGGAAAGGTCCAGGTTCGAAAAGAGAAGAATACCCTTAAGATGCCTCTGACACATTGACTGTAACATCATGCACATTTGAGATTGTGAGGATAGAGCAAGATACTGTAAGATTTTGATCTGTTCTTCATAAGGTCACTGTGAGTTATAGTTGATTTGATGCACCTAAAAACAATATATGCTTGTAAAAGTTGGAAAATGAATAAGGAAACCCAAAGAAGAATTGATGTCTTTGAGTTGAGGTCATAGTGACGAGTACCATGGACTATCAAAGGAACAAATATGTTTGTCATATAAGTTCACTAAGATGCTCCTTAGAAGAAAGGATGATGAAACTTTCTTTCACATATTTTGCATATGTCAGAAGGTATCAGTCCTTGGGAAAAGATGTCCTGCTTTAAAAAGTGGAGGGTCAGTAAAAGACAGGAAGAACCTCAAAAAATGAAGGATTGACACAGTGACTAAAACATTGGTTTTGAGCATGGTGGAGATTACAAGGTTGGCAAAAGAAAATTTTTTATGTTGTTCATAGAGTGACTGTGAGTAACATTTGATTTGATAATACCTAACTATCAACAATCTGCGTTATGCAGATGACACAATTCTGCTTGCTGAAACTGAGAAGGACCGGAAATGCTTGCTGCAGAGGGTCAAGGACTGCAGCCTTCAATATGGATTGAGGCTCAATGTCAAGAAGACAAAGACTCTCACCACTGGACCAATTGGCAGCATCAGGATGGATGGTGAAGAGATTGAGACTGTTAACAACTTTAGTCTGCTTGGCTCCATGGTCAACACTCTTGGAACCAGTAGCCAGGAAATAAAAAAAACGTATTGTGTTGGGAAAGCCTGCTGTTAGGGACCTCTCCAAAGTACTGAAGAGCAATGGAGTCACTCTGGAGACTAAGGTGCATCTGATACAGGCCATGGTCTTTGCAATCACTTGTTATGCACCAGAGAGTTGGACAATGACTAGGAAGGAGAAAAGAAGAATTGATGCATTTGAGCTGTCATGCTGAAGAAGAGTATTGAATGTACCATGGACTGCCAAGAAAACAAACAGATTCATCCTGGAGGGGGTTAAACCAGGCTGCTCCTTGGAGGCAAGGATTCTGGGGCTTCGTCTGACATATTTTGGACATGTTTGTAAGGAGAGACAAGTCTTTGGAGAGGGACATCATGCTAGGGAAGGACGGCGCAAGAGGGGAAGACCCTCTTTGAGATAGACTGATTCAGTGACTGGGGTAATTGGGATGGGTGTGTCAGGGGCAGTGCGATTAGCACAGGATAGAGCAGGGTTTAGGGCTGTTGTACATAGGATCACTGAGTCGCAAGTGACTTGATGGCACATAACAACAACAACAGCAACAACAATAATACGAATCATGTTTTGTAAAGTTTATGTTAACTTAGGTAGGCTATACTTTTCAATAATGTGTGATTTTCTCCACTTCATGATATATTTATTCATTTTGTGATGCATTACTATAATACATCCTTGTATGCTAATGGGGCAGGATTAGCATTATACCTAGCTTGAGACACAGCCTTACAAGAGGGCATGATTGGGGGGCGAGGGGTTTGTGTGGGGAGAAGGGTGCAACAATGAATGAATGGAATTCCAAAATCTCTGTAGATGTTCATTGAAATGAAAAGTAAACAACCTAAATTTAAAAAAAAAAAAGAGGGCATGATTCTAGTCCTTCCCTTGCTAAAGTGTCACCCTTACTCAAGTCCCACCTTACCTTAAGTCACACTCTTGCTTGCAGCATGCTTTTTGTCTTACAAGTGTTTAAAGGAGAGAGAAGTGAGCAGACAGAATAGGAACTTCACTACTACTAAGAAAGAAGAGCTGAGAATAAAATGTGCCATTTAGATCTGAGATCCCAGTGCTAAGAACCTCCTAGAGACAGGCTAAGATTGATGATAACAAGACATATAGAAATCTCCAAAGAATTCCAGGTCCACAGATGTTTAAAAATGATGAGTGGTGAGAATTTTTGCTTTCTTGATGTGATGTAATCCATATTGAAGGCTGTAGTCTTTGACCTTCTATGGTAAGTGTTCCAAGTCTTTTTCATTGTCAACAAGCAAAGTTGTGTCATCTTTATAACACAGGCGGTAGATGAGTCTTCCTTCAATCCTGATGCCACTTTCTTCTTCATAAAGTTCTACTTCTCAAATGATTTTCTCATCATACTGACTGAACAGGTATGGAGAAAGGATAGAGACCTGGGGCAAACCTTTCTTGATTTTAAAGCATGCAGTGTCCCATTGCTCTGTTTGGACAATAGTTTCTTGGTCTACATATAGGTTTCAAATAAACATAATTAAATGCTCTGGGATCACTATTGTTATCAATGTTAGTAAATCAAAGAAAATGGAAGAGTCTTCTATTCACTCATTCAAAGATAGTTATCACACAAAAATCATATCGATGTTGGCTTCCACTAGTGGAAGCTGCAAGACTTCCAAGCAAATCAGACAAATATTCCAGATTAATAAACATTCATAAGATGCATAAGGATACAAGAGGATGATGATGAAGAGGAAGGTCGCAGGCAGAGTTGTGGAGTTTACTTTTGGAGTTCTGTTACTTAGGTCCCCTGGTAGTGCAACTCTTGAGCTGGAGTTCTGAAAGGCTGGTATGTCAACAGGCTAGGGGGCAGGGTTCAGATCCACTGTTCAGAAGGTCGCTATGAATCACAGTAGCATCTAACAACAACAACAGTGGCGTTTTGGGGAAGAGGAGTCATAAAGATTACTACAGACAAGATGGGGCAGTTCTATCCTGCCATATACTTCATTACTTCCAGTCAGAATCTTTCAGCCAATATCTAACAACATCAAAGTAGCCTATTAATAGCCTTCACTTCTCTATTGTTTTCATATTCAACCACAAAAGTCCCTGCTGATAGAGCTGTTTCAGTCTTCCCTTCTAGCGAATACATCCAATTGAGCACACCTTGATGGAGAACTCACTGTACACAAGAAGGTGTACTTTCTCTAAGGATGTAGTACTTTAACCTCTCTATCCGATCGATTGGCAGCATCAGGATGGATGGTGAAGAAATTGATATTGTTAACAACTTTAGTCTGCTTAGCTTCACGGTCAACACTCTTAGCACCAGTAGCCAGGAAATTAAAAAAAACGTATTGCGATGGGAAAGTCTGCTGTTAGGGACCTCTCCAAAGTACTGAAGAGCAATGGAGTCACTCTGGAGACTAAGGTACATCTGATACAGGCCATGGTCTTTGCAATCACTTGTTATGCACCAGAGAGTTGGACAATGACTAGGAAGGATAAAAGAAGAATTGATGCATTTGAGCTGTCATGCTGAAGAAGAGTATTGAATGTACCATGGACTGCCAAGAAAACAAACAGATTCATCCTGGAGAGCGTTAAACCAGGCTACTCCTTGGAGGCAAGGATTCTGAGGCTTCGTCTGACATACTTTGGACATGTTGTAAGGAGAGACAGGACCTTGGAGAGGGACATCATGCTTGGTAGGGTGGAGGGACAGCACAGGAGGGGAAGACCCCCTATGAGGTGGATTGATTCAGTGACTGGGGTAATCAGGATGGGTGTGTCAGAGGCAATGCGATTGGCACAGGATAGAGCAGGGTTTAGGGCTGTTTTACATTGGGTCGCTATGAGTTATTAGCGACTCGACAGCACATACATATCCGATAGATTAAGTTCCTTCCACCAACAGTCCTAAATGATTCCAGATGTCAAACCAAAGCGAATCTCGAGGGCCACCTTTCGGAGGTGACTCCAGGGTGCCTTCATCCTCCAGGTCTTCCCCACCCCCGCTCTCTCCGGGACTTCCAGGACCGTCGGCCCCTGCGAGGGGCGCGCGCCCGAGGCCACGTGACCCTGCTCCGCGGGGCCGCGCGCGAGCGGCCATGTCTGAAGTGCCGGCTGTATCGGGGCGCCTAGGGCAGGGGTCAGAGCCAGGGCTCGGGGCGTCCCTGGCCGGTGGCACCCGGTTCTTCTGCACCGCAGGCCGCGGCCTGGAGCCATTCTTGATGCGAGAGGTGCAGGCACGCCTCGGGGCCACTCAGGTGAGTCAGCCTCGCTGTGCACCCTGGAAGGAGAGCGCCCCTGCAGACTTGCCTCCGGGCTGGGGTGCATCGCCGACTCCCGGGGACGGGTCTGCCCACATGAGAGAGCTGGCCGGTCCATCAGTCCCGGCCTGAGACTGCTAGTTCCTTCTGCCCCTGCATGTCACCCTCCGTCCCGCGGAGCTGTTAGAGCTCAAGTTCTAAAGAGAGGGCGTGGGACAATTTATTGCCCATACTTTTTAGAAAGAATTATTTGATGGTGCTTATAATTACAGTAACACCTCCAAAGTCTCCCTCCACCCTCCACCCTCTAATACAGGTGCAACCTTAAGGTTCAGTTGACTGGTTTGTTTTGGTTTTCTGTTTCCTGACTATGGATGTAGGTCTTTGGTGGGATGTTGTCAAGAATATCGTGTATCAAGTACGCACAGTATGTTTTATACGCTCAGTAAGGCCAACTCCAGGGGGGTTGAACATTGTCAACTATGTATCTCTGTTCACTTCTGTGAAATAAAATTACGGGGGAAAGAAAACGTAAAATGAAATTGACTATTCACTGCTCTCCTCTTCCAGTCCCAAAGGTAGTTGCAGTGGGTGGGATGTGTGGCATCTCTGACGAATGATGTCACTTTAGACTGCTGTAATTTTGGTTAAAGAATTTAATAGTTGAATGTATCTTTTAAAAAAGATAAGCAATGTTATAAAAGCCTAAAAATCCCGCTGTCATCAAGTTGTGAATTAGAACCACCCCCTCAGCAGCACGACTCCGTGGGCTTTCTGAGGATTCCTTAAGTAAGCGGACTGACATGTCTTCTGATGAACTGTTGATGAATTTGAACCATTGGCTTTTCAGTTAGACTGTTAACATGTGCTGAAACTTTTTCTTCTTGGTGCGTAATTATGATTGATGTGTGTAGCTGTTTGATCTTGCTTGAATTTCACTAGGCTTTCTGAATATGGACAGATATCCGACCAGTACTGAAAAATTCTCAGCCATTACCTGTACATATATTGTCTCTGCATCACTCTTCATCTTATAGAAAAATCTATATTGGCTTATAAATTATTTTACTCTGTCTTCAAGATCTCTTGATTTCTCATATTTACCTTTTTTGAGTTTCATTTTGTATAGATAGGTATCGTTCTTGTAGTGCCATGGAAACAACATACTCATAGTTGACCCTCCAATGGGTTTCCCAAACATGGGAAAGAGTGCCCATCTTACATTCTGTGGAGCCAATAGTTCCTTTGGGTTTGCAGCACAACTTCCCACAATGTCATGCGACCAGAGCTCGCTATAGATATGTGGCTGTTACTGTTGTTATGCCCCATCAGGTTGACCATAACTCATAATGATCCTTATGAACAGTAGTTCTGAATAGTGCCCAACCTACCTCATCCTTTCCATCTTTGATATACTCAGTCTCATTGTCAGTCACTATGTCAATCCATCTTGTTGAGGATCTTCCTCTTTTTTTGACCATAAGTGCTTCTCCGCACAATGCTTTTTTCCAAGGACTAACACCATGCCCAAAGTATGTGAGACAGTTTCACTAGGATTTCACTTCCTCCAAGACAGACTTACGTTCTTTAGCTGTCCATGAGAAATACAGCAATATTGTCCTCTGCCATCCCAGTTCAAAGGCCTTGATTCCTTTCCAGCTTTTAGAAGCATAGGAAGGAATTGGAATTTGCATAGCTTGCATAAGACACACCTCATTGTCATCTTTAGGTGACCACAGAGCATGAACATGACCCTCACCCACCCACTTACTCAACCTGCTGTTCTTGATTATTGCTCTTTAGCATTTTGGAGATGCTTGACAGGAGATTTTCCCCAATGTAGCACTTCTTTTAATTTCTTGATTGTGATTACCCTGAGTGTTGATTGTGGGTCCAAGTAAGATGGAACCATTGACATCTTTAATCTTCTAACATCATTGTTCTTCAGTACTCTGGAGAGGTCCCTGACAACAGACTTTCCCAGTGCAATTCATCTTTTGATTTCCTGGCTGTCTATATAACTTTTTACCCGAACTTACGCCTGTTGAGTCTATAAATTTTCATCTCTTGAAATTCTGTATTAGTGTTTTTCACCATATATACTTGGTTATTTTTATATCCTAACCTCTCCAGAGTACTGAGAAGAAACAGTGTCAGTCTAGAAACTAAGATGTGCCTGATCCAGGCCATTATCTTCACAATTACTTGATGTGCATTAGAGAGCTGGACAATGACAAAGGATGATAGAAGAAGAGTCAATGCCTTTGAGTTGTAGTGCGGGAGAAGAGTCTTGAACAAACCATGGGCTGCTAAGAAAACAAATAAATCTGTCTTGGAGAGAGTGAAACCAAGTTTCTCCTTGGAGGCTGGGATTTTGAAGCTCTGTCTCGCATACTTTGGGCACGTAGCCAGGAGGGACAGGTCCTTAGAGCTAAGAACATCATGCTCAGAAAAGTGGAGAGACAGCAAAGGAGAGGAAGACTCTGGATGAGATCGATTGACTTAGTGACTGGAGTAGTGTGGGTAGGTGTGTCGGAGTCAGTAAGACTGGCTCAGGACAAGGGGTCGCTATGAGTTGCAGTTAACTTGATGGCACATAACAGCAGCAGCAACAAATCTTTTATTCAGATTTTCTCCCTTTTAATTCTTTCTTTTAGGGTGCTATGATGGCATAGATGACTTTCTCTGAGGATAAAAGATAGGTACCATCCTCCTATGCAATTTACAGCCTCAAAACTTGCTAGAGGGTCAGCTATGAGGTGGTGCTCTTTGGCAAGGAGTTTAACTTTTGGGGTTTTAAAAAAAATTCTATAAATAGATATAAAAATTCTATAAATTCTTTTATAATTCAAGTGTGCATCTGTTCATTCATGGTCCCATAGAATAGTGCTTTGTTTTGTTTTATTTAATGGAAAGCAGCTTGCCTTTTGTTTATTGTTTTCCCATGATGATTTTAAAGATGCAGGCTATCAGAGTGAACAATCAGTGGGCCTCCAGAGCATATTGAAGTCCCTGCAATGCTCCCTTTGCCTCCTCCTCCTACTGGTTTCATTCACCTACCAGCAGTTATGCAGCACCTCCTGTGGCTCTGTAAACCCTGCCAGTCAGGTGGTGCTAGTAGGTAAGTTCCCAGCTTTGAGCAGCAAGTTGCATCAACAGACAACTGCTGATACTACCAGCCTTGTTCCAACATCTACATACTTGGCCTTGGAGACCATGTCAGCAAGCACCTGAATGTGCACAAATTCCCAGTCCAGCTATGGCTGCCTGCATAGCCTCTGTCCTGCCAGCCTGCACACCTGCAAGGCCAGCTTCCTGTATCCAGGGATTCACCTCTCAAGGTTTCTTCATGGAGCTCTCATTAGCTTTCAAAGTTCATATCCTGTAGTGACCTGTTTCAAAAACTCTGTCATGCATGTTAAGTGACACATAGTGCTTCTTTTTGTATTTTATGCCTTATAATTAATTAAACCATCTGCCGTCTTCATGTGTCTGATTCTGATACACGTTTATGCTTGCTCTATACATGTTACCTACCTTCTATAATTTTTAAATATAAGTCAATTTTTATTTTTATTTTTTACAGTTTTTACATGTACAGTTATAGTAGTTTCTGACTTAACAGCATATAATGACATGGGTAATTTAGTGACATTGATTATGTTTTAAGCTGTACAGCCTTTAATTTTTCATTTTCACAACCATCTTAAAGGAGCCCTAATGGCATAGTGCATACCATATCCAGCTGCAAACTGAAAGATCATTGGTTTGAGACCAGCCGCTGCTCTGTAGTACGACGATGGACAGTCTCTTCTTGTAAAGATTAAGAGCCGGGGAAAGTCACTATGAGTTAGAATCATCTTGACTGGCAGTAGGTTTATTTGCTTTTTTGTGTTTGTTTTGGTGTCTTAAAATGTTAAAGCACTTTTAAAATAAGAATAATAGCAACTGATATTTGTTACTGTTGCTGTTGTTAGGTGCCATCAAATCAAATATGACTCATAGGGACCTTAACAGCAACAGATCTGAACCCTGTCTTAGCCTGTTAAATCATCATCATCATTATCATCTCTGATACACTTGAGTTAATTTTTGTAGTCACTGTGTCAACCTATCTTGTTGAGGGTCTTTCTTTCTTTCATGGACCCTCCACTTCTCCAACCATGGAGTCCCTCTCCAAGGAATAATCTCTCCTAGAAGTCCAAGTATGAGACAAAGCTTTGTCAGATTACTGCTAAGGAGCACTCTGGCTCTACTTTCTCCAAGACATATCTGCTTGTTCCTTTGGCAGTCCTGGGATTTTGGTACTCTTCTCCAACACCATAGCTCAAAGGCATCAATTCTTCTTCTGCCATCCTTATTCATTGTCCAGCTCTCAGATGCATAACAAATGATTGAAAAGACCACCATGGCATGAATCAGGCACATGGTCAGGCATGTGAATTATTGCTCCTTACTAATCTGGAGAGGTCCCTAATTGTAGATTTGCTCAATGCCATATGTCTTCTGATCTCATGATTGCTGATATCAAGGGTGTTGATTGTGGATCCAAGCAAGATTCATTGACAGTTTTAATCTTTATCTATCATGATGTTGGTTATTGGTCCACACATTTCATATTATCAGACACTTTTTGTACATCCTACAAATTACTCCTCCAAAGAATTCTTTCTGATAGATCATTTTTATCTCTACAGAGAAAACTGAAGCTAATAGCTGGAGCTGGGATTTTTATCTGACTCTAGCTTCTTATACCCTTTCCTACCACACTAAATTACCATAGGAAATGACCCCAGCTGGGAGATTTGGAACATTAGTTTATTTTACAAGATGGTAAATGTACACATACTTTGGAGTCAAAAGATAGGTGTTAAGACCTTATACCTTTCTTTCATAAACTTGTGGCTTTTGTAAATTTAATGTCTGAGCCTCACTTTCTCAGAATGTAAAATATGTAGCAATGTCTACTATAAAGGATTAATGTAATCTTTGCGATA